AACAGAACCATGGTTCAGTTTGATCCAGACCCAGAACTCCTCTTCTGGTCTGAGGAACCGTTCACACCTGATGTTCTGAAGAGTCTGAAGCTCTGAAACAAACCAGGTGTGAAAGAGTCCAGATGTGGATGGATAGAGAGAGAGAGAGTGTGTGTGTGTGTGTGTGTGTGTTACTCACACGTCCACCTGGCAGAGGTAGCAGTGGCAATTCTCGATGACATGTGCATGTTTGGTGCGGTCGAAAACAGGAACTGGACCTTTGTTGCTCGTTGTTCTGACGTTGTAGTCGGCCGGGTCGATGGACACCGCCATCACGTGGACACAGAGGTGACACACAAACATGATGCCCGTGCACTGACTCACAGATAAGGACTCACACACAAACAACATTTTCTTCTTCTGTCACTACGACCCACCACTGTGATTACCCTCAGGAGCCCTCGGGCTCCATCACGGTGACGTCGACATTTAGTGGAAGGATACGATGTAACCTGCAGGGATCCAGTGAGCCGGCAGCAGGGGGATGAACACACCAAAGCTGGTAACAGCGAAGTAGACGTAGAGCAGCCAGGCGAGCAGCTGGAAGGGGTGAGGCGGCCAACTCCAGCCATTGGTGCGGGAGCAGAGCGGCACGTCGGCGCCGTGCAGTCCATCGTCACCAACCGGCGCCGTGCGGTTCGGGTTCCTACAGCACGCCTCCATCCTGCAAACTGAGTCCACACCAGGATCACACAGTCATCTGCACCGTGATCAATCAACGACCGATTCATTCACTAATTCATCCGTGACATAAAAAAACATTTTAATAATCAATGAACTGATGCGGTCGCTCCTCATGAATCAATGAATTCACAACAGGTCACACCTCTTTAATGGATCTGAGTTCTTCTCATGTTTTGAATGAATATTAATTAACTCTGGTTGATTATATGAATATGTTTTAATATTGAAACATGTTTTTTTTTTACTTCAAACTAACTTCACCCCAGTGAACATCTATAATTACCTGATCATCTGTACAGAGAAGCTTTAATCCCAATAATAGATCAAATCATTGATAATCAATTAGAGGAGTGGTCTGTTCTTGATGGAGATCGTTTGGTCCATGTTTCATACATGAACGTCTGACAGGTGTGAAGGGTTAGCTCACCTGGTTAGCACGGGTTAGCTCACCTGGTTAGCACGGGTTAGCTCACCTGGTTAGCACGGGTTAACGGGCCCTCCGCTCCGCCGCATCTCATCCCAGACTCGGGGCCTGACCTCGGCACACACTCCCCGCCCTGAGAGCCACAGACCCGGGTCACACTGTCCCAGTCCAGCCGTTAACTCGCATCCATGCCGTCTGTGGCGCTGTCGGTGCCGTCCCCCCTGCTGACGGAGCACATGAGCTCTTAAACGGAGTAATAATATGTGGGCAACGCGTCGGTCTGGTTCTCAGGCTAACATGCTAACTAACCGCAGCGGGCGCCGGCCTCGTCGACGCTGAAGCTTTGACCCGGGAATCAAGCCGCGGGTCTCGGGTCTGAATGTCTGACTTCACCCGGAGGAGTCATATTAAATATTCATCTCATCACAGTGCGCTAACCAGCCTGTTAGCTTGTTAGCCTGTTAGCCTCTGTGCTGCTGCCTCCCACTGTCTCCCTGCACCGTACGCCGTTTCCATGGTGACGCCCCAGGACTCCTCCTACTGCTCGGTATGGCCTGAGCCGTGAGAGCAGGAAGTGTCCGGCAGGGGGCAGCAGAGCTACAGCAGCGTGTTTTTATTTATAAGCAAGAATAATATTTAACCTTTAAACTTTATTTTCTGTGTACTTCTACTGTGTTATGTAATTTACCCAAAGCATCACAGACACAAATGTACACATCGCATATACTTTTACATGAAATCCCAGGCATATAAAATAATCAATAAACAAATCATTACATAACAACGAATAAATATATATATATATGTGTGTGTGTGTGTGTGTGTGTGTGTGTGTGTGTAGCAGCAGTCATACAAGTAGAGTTACTACAGGAAGCAGTGATCACTCGGTCACATGAAACCATGAGGGGGGGGGGCAGTCCTCCATCTGTTTCAGACATCTATATTGTTTCATCATCAGTGTGTATGTGTGTGTGTGTGTGTGTGTGTGTGCGTGTGTTATATAACTGACCACATCTTCGGCTGAACATGGACTCGTGTTTAAAGTGTGGCCCCCCTGGAGGCCCCTATAGGCCCCGTCTCTGGGCTGAGTCAATGGATTCTCAGTCATGAGCTAATCATCTGTTAAAGACAGAGACAACGGTTTGACCCCCAGGACCACAAATGTATATTTAACTCCGTCAGTGATCACAGCAGGCGTGAGCAGCTGCTCCAGACCCCCCCCCGTCCCATCCTCAGGGAGAATATACACTGAAGTCACTAACCAGCCAGAACTGCTGGGCCCCCAGAGGCCCCCAGGACCCTCAATGCATCCAGGACAGAGATGAAGAAAGAGACAGACGGACGCTGACTGGACAACCAGCAAAGAAAGAAAGAAAGAAAGAAGAGTCCTTTTCCTGGGACGGATGGGCTAAATATTTATACGGTGACAGACGCTCCGAGGGTTAACATGACATCATCACGTTAGCGAGCGACTCGTCTGCTGCTGCATGATGACCTCTGTCACTGATCCAAGACTTGCTGTCGTCCTGCAGCTCTGTCCGTCTTTCAGTCGTCCTCATTAAAGACCAGCGTCCTCATTAAAACGCCGTCATTAGCGGAGACTAAGTGGCTGAGTTGACCTGTCCTGGTCTCGACCTGAAAGCGTCGCACACTGACTGAAAGGTCAGCTCATCCGTTCATTTCACAGTCTGAGGTCAGAACAGACGTATGATTTCATGACATGTTCAATAGTATGTGGACGGCTGACCATTCCTCCAGATGTGACAGGGAGGAGGAGGTGGACAAAGATCCAGAACATCTGGAACGAGTCACCAGCCGCCACGACAGGAAGAGAGGTCCCAGGAGCGGAGGTGAGTGGGGGGTCAATATTCACAGGTTGGTCTTCAGCTGTGTCTCATAAAGAAAACGATGTGTTCAATGTCCTGATGGAAGGAGACGTGTGATCAGAGGTCGTTCTTGGTCCACGAGTGTCTGTAAATGGTTTGTATTTATAAAGATCTTTTCTAGTCTTGATGACACTTAAACTCATTTAAATGTCAAATAACACACGTGTCAGACAACATACATGTCAAATAACACACATGTCAGATAACATACATGTCAAATAACACACGTGTCAGACAACACACGTCATACAACACATATGTCAGACAACATACATGTCAAATAACACACGTCAGATAACACACACATCAGACAACATACACTGTCATTTAACGAATGTAACAGGACTACAAACACCAATAAATAGAACTACAACTATGGCATTGTGGGTAGTAACAGCTTCTGCTCCTCTGTTATTGCAGGTTTGAACAAACGCACCCCTGGGGCTGATGGGAAATGTAGTTCCTTAAAGGATGTTTGCATCAAATCATTTTTCAAAGACCTGCTGTTCTGATGGACACATGGGTCATCTTCTTCTTCTTCTTCCCTTCTTCCTCTTCTTCATCTTCTTCTTCTTCTTCTTCTTCTTCTTCTTCTTCCCTTCTTCCTCTTCTTCATCTTCTTCTTCTTCTTCTTCTTCTTCTTCTTCTTCCCTTCTTCCTCTTCTTCATCTTCTGCTTCTTCTTCCTATTCTACTTCTTCTTCTTCCTCATCTTCCTCATCTTCTTCTTCCTCTTCTTCTTCCTCTTCTTCTTCTTCTTCTACAAGTCACATTGTCAGATCCAGATGTTTGAATTTGGAGACCACAAACTTTAAAAGCTATAATTGCACAATTTGTTTCCTGAGTCCCTACGGAGTCCTCATTCAATACTCAGCTACACGTCCATATGGTTTCTGTCTTTCTTCCTTCATTTATTCGTTCATTTGTTCGTTCATTTGTTCGTTCATTTGTTCGTTCATTTGTTCGTTCCTTCCCCAGGATTGAAAACCACTGAACATATTTCCAGTAAACTTAGAGGAAGCACAGAACATGACTTAATGAAACATTTATTAATTCTGAGGTGGATCTCCATCAAAATCATGAAATGGAACATTTTTCTAAATTTTCACTGATTTCTCTGAGAACAATTTGTGAAACAATCACAGGACAGATTCCCACGAGTGTGTTTTATTGAATTAAAGAGAAAAAGATCTTTCTGGTAAGAAAAGAAAACCTGAGAACATCTGTCTCAGTGCAGCAGCTGTCACAATGCATTACTCACAGATCTCTGACTGGATCAGTGGGTCGTCTTGATGCTCCGGGTCCAGGGACCTTATCAGTCCTCAGTCTGTCCATGGGCTTAGAGAAGGAGGTCACACAGCGGGACGTAAAGCTTCCTGTCTGCTGAGAGGAGACGCTGGACGACACTTCTCAGGAGGAGAGAACGGCTTCTGAAACAGAAAACTCGGACTAGAACAGACTCAGACCTGGACACACAAGGACAGACTCGGACCATGACAGACCAGGACAGACTCGGACCTGGACACACCAGGACAGACTCGGACCTGGACACACCAGGACAGACTGGGACCAGGACAGACCAGGCCGTGGAGCGGCACAGATCACAGTGTTATGAGTAAACAGATTTAATTAATACGACAGTAGACACTGAGACCACCAGGGGGCACCCCAGAGGACACACATCTGCTAACACTTTACTGTGTGTAGAGTGTGATCAGCTGATTCAAATGTGTAAACACAAAGTGTAAATGTCTTGAGTTTTTCATGTTGTAGAAATCTTCATACTTGACATGTGAAACCAGTAGACGTCCACGACAAGAGACAACAAGGAACCTGCATCATTTCACACCTGGTCACCTCCAAGTCTGTCCATGAAGACTGTCCATGCAACAGGAACCTGGTCCTCTGGTCTTCTTGTCCTCTGGTGTCTTGATCTGGACACGTGTTTCTGACACATGTTTCATATGTGTTGTGAACTCTGATCTACAGACCTGCTTCTAACCACAAGATAATTAAAGTCAGACCTGATTTTAAGTGTAGTGTGTGTGTGTGTGTGTGTGTGTGTGTGTGTGTGTGTGTGTGTGTGTGTGTGTGTGTGTGTGGTCTGGTGGACTCCCCCTCCCCACACAGACATAGTTTAAACCAGCTTTGGCCACAACAGATTTTCTGGAGAAAAGTTTCATGTTCCAACTGTGGTCATTATCAGATTAAGACTGTGTGTGTGTGTGTGTGTGTGTGTGTTTACATGAATGTTCACAAAGGTTCAAACTCTGAATAACAATCTTTATCATGTTTGTTAGAGCAAGTCCTGGCTTTAATGAAGTGAATGTGCAAAGGACTGGTATCAAATCTGGTGTCAGACCTGATGTACCTGGTGTCAGACCTGATGTAC